CGAGTTGGGAGTGAGAACGTGTTGGACTGGAGGGTGTAAATTTAAACTTCAAACATCATCATTACAGTGTTTCAGTCATTATTTCACATCATCTGTTTGTTTTCTTTTATTGTTTTTACATGTAGTCAGATGCTAAGGTCATTGTGCATCTATACATACATGTCAAAACAACACAAAGAATTCAGAATAAATGCGTTTGTTCTTTGTTTTGAATGGCAACAGATAATAAACCTAACTATGAATTTATTTGTTGTCTTTGTTACTTTAGTTTCACTTCAACCACACAGTGAGTCATTTCCTGGGTTTGGGTCTCAAACCAAACTTAAAAGCAAAATTCAACAACAAAATCAGATCATTTAGAGATCTATGGTATTCCAGGTTTATATGTGTGTTACACTACCTGTCTACATCATGAATACATATGCAAAATAAGTTCCAGAATGACAGAAAAATCAGATTGTCAGACTTCAGAAAGATGGAAAAGATGATAGAAAAATGTTTCTAGAACACAACTATCTCTGTGAGTGCAGAGTCCAGGAGATTGACGACAAGGGGCTGAAAACAAAACATGTTGGGGGAGAATGAATGCTGTGGATATATATCAGAACATTGGGTGATAAGATGACTCCCAGTCTGCAGAGACCTGCTGGAAAAGGAATTCTGCAGCATGATAATAATCCACAGGAAACTGCAAAAATCACACAAAAAAAGGCAAAATATGTCTCCTGACTTGAAGCAACAGAACAGCTTTGCACATTGAAGAGAAAGGAAACAACACAAGTAACAAGCTTCTATTTCACTGGACAGGAAATATAAATATGTCACACAACTGCTGCGGTCAAAGCTACAAGAGCTGTTTGACATTTGTGTGAAAGGGCAGGAAGCACAGAGAGACCAATCAGAAGAGGAAACCTATAGAAAAACTCTTGTTGTATCTATATTAAACACAACTTCTCTTTTCCTGTAAAGTAAAACTCTTTGATTTATCTGTGGATCAGAGTGCAGCAGGCTGGATGTGACGATGGGGCACTCTTTGCTGTGCATGATGGGCTTTTTCTGTAAGTACACGTCTGACATTGTTTGAACGGCAGCGATTAATGAAAATGTTTCTGATTTGTGAGAATTACAGTGAGTCACTGCTTTAACCTGTTTACCTGAGAGCTGGAACAAAGCAGACTTGTGATATTTTGTGATTGTTTAAGCAAAATGTGTTACAGTTGTTTTAGTTATTGTGTTTAGAGCCTGTTTGACAAATATAAGAACACCAATGTTGTGATCATTGTTTCATCTAAAAAATTGTCTTAAAAAAGTTTCATTTTATATTGATTTTATTAGCTGTATGTCTGATGAGATTTTATTCATTTTTAGCGTCCTGTACAGTCATCTATGAAAATGCTCAAGGTAAGTATCTGAATTGATTTTTACATTTATATGTGCTATTTAACATAATTTAATGACTGAACCTCAATCTGTTAATAAATCTCAACATGAAATGTAATCAGATTACAATCCGACTGTCACTTTAAAATACATTAGTTCAGATTTTGAGTTTGAATGTCAGTTTAGCCTCATCTTCACTCAAATACTTACATCAACTTAGAGATTTAATAGTGACACACATTAATATGACCGCTTACAGCACAATATTATTTCCAGTGTAAATAAACTGGCCGACAGTCTGGCAGCTGAATTAAGGCCACGCAGTCACAGAGTAGGGAAAAAAGGAGACTATAGATTTTCTTCTGGCTTGATAATAAATCTACAATGCAACTGATGTCTCCATCCTTAAATCCTTTTGGGTTTCTTGGCTGCTGCTTGGGAACTTGAAGCTTCAGTTCCCTCCTCAGGATTTCTGTAGGACTGAAGTCTGGAGACTGGTTAGGCCACTCTGTGACCTTAATGTGCTTCTATTTTAGCCACTCCTTTGTTGAATTGGTGGTATGTTTTGGGTCAGTGTGATTCTGCAAGACCTGTCCACGACTTCAGTATTCTGGCTAGATGAAGGGTTTGTGTACAGTATATGACCTTGACCGTTGGTGCAGCAAAGTTGTCCTGTACCCTTAGTGAAAAATATCCCAAAGCATAATCTTTCCACCTGCCTGCTTGACGTGTTGTTCTTTGGGTCACACTCAGGATTTCTTTATATCCAAACACAGTGTGTCTAGTTGATATGACAGATATGATTTCGGTTTCACTGGAAAACCGCACATTCCCCCAATCATTATCTGAATCATTTAGATGTTCACTGGCAAACTTAAGACAGGACTGCACATGTGCCTGCAAACCTGGAACAACAAAAATGATTCTGTGGGCCTTTATACTCATAATGAGCTATATGCCACATCTGTCTGGAGGCGCTGGAATCCTTACTGGTCTGTCAAATACTTATTCCACTCAATAGCAAGCAAATCAGTTTATAACTTTGATGTGATGTGTTTTAACTGGATTTTTGGTTGATATTCTGTCGCCTCCCCATTAAATGAAACAACCACAAAAATTAGAGACTGTTCATTTCTTTGTAAGTAGGAGACAAAAAATAGGCAGGTGTTCAAATAACTGTTTTTTCCACTGTATCCACTTTTCTTAAAAGCTTATCAGGTTCAGTGTTGTAGTTAGTAAAAAGTGTATTTATATTAAAAATATAATTTAATGTGAACATTTTTGGCAGAATAAAATTAAAATTTTATAGTATAAAATTCAATTGTGGTTTATTATCTAAAAGTTGGTGTTCCAAGAGAGGGTGCTGTGACACCCTAATCGTTTCATGGCATTTTATCATTTACATATTTCCACCCAGTTTTTTAAATTGTTCTGATTCAGTCATTTACTTTTATGTTATTGTTCTAAAATGAACTACAGATAAACCAAAGGCAAGACTTGGTGCTGATAGGACAGCTGTTCCAATAGGGGGCAGTGTGACCTTGAATTGCTCTGTGAGCCCATCATCATCATCATCATCATCATCTTCTTCTAGATGGAAATACTACTGGTACAGAAATGAAAAATACTTCCAACCCCTGACAACACAAGATGCAGTTTTTCAATCACATGCAGGGCTCTCGAGTGCGACCAATTTGCGACCAACACAGCAGGTCAGAATATTTGCAAAGAACAATAAAAACAGCTTCTTCCAAGGTGTGAGTTCAGTCTCTTCATCAGATCGGTTGTCGAAAGTTTAACAGGTTCATCTCACAATCACTTAAGTCAGTTCAGAGGTGACTTTTTCCAAATGTCTCCATCATGGACATATTTAGTTCTGCTAACAGGTTAGTGTGTCAAAAGCGCCATAAATTCTAAACTTGGTATGACTCAGCTCTCAGGTAAGTCTCTGCAGATGCCTGATGTGCCAGAATGGATCTCAGACAAAGAAGACAGACTCGGTAGGTAAGGCTGCTTAGTTTAGCAGGTGAGTACATAAACATCACAAGTCATGTGGTCTTAGCGATGCTACAAACTGAGTAGTTCAACAGTCTGGCAATGAGTACCTGGGAGAGCTGGATTTCAACGCAGCAGTGAGTGCAATGAGTATCAGATGCATCTGAGTTCAGACAGCCAGAGTTTATTAGCCTCCATCCACCTCTCACACACAAATAAGACACAAGCTGAAGTGTCGCTGCTAACAGTTAATTTTTATTTTTATTTTTTTAAATGTATTGTACTTGTCAGGAGTTTAAATCGACTTCTAAGTCCACATGTCCAACATCTCTGTATCATATACCTGCTGATCAAATGTATCCTGAGCTCTGACTTCTCTTTTAGAGGACAGTCTGATTTTGCTGAGGTCAAACACCCCAAAAATGAAAAAGCCAAGAAAAAAGCAGGTAAACAAAGTCTGCCATCACCTCCAGTGAATGTTGTTCAACATGTTTATCTGGTCTTAAAATCTTCTTTCCACTCACAGGAAAATCAAGTCCTGCAGCTGATGCAGCAGTTTATTCTGAAGTCACGTTAGGAAGCTTTCCTGGTAATTATGCTTCTGTGCAGGATGAGTTATTCTTCAAGTTATTAAATGGCGAACATCCTGAAACTTGGACATTTGTGTTCTTTGTGTTTGTCTGCAGGTCAGTGAGGAGAGCTGCAGCAGCAAAGCCAAAAAGAAGCATTTGATGAATCCACTGTTGCTCCTCTGCTGCTCAAATATCAGACACACTCAGTTTTTTGTCACTTTTGTTAAGATGATATTAAATAATAATATGACATAGATATAGTATCGGGGGCGTCCTGTGACTTGTACGGCAAGCAGAGACGATGTTTGTAGTCTCTGTGAGGACCAGCTTTCTATGAAAACTAAATTAAACTAAAAAAAGTTGTTTATAAGGTCAAAAATAAGGTCTACTGGTGATTTAAAAAGCAAATAAAATACATTTATCACAAAAAAGAGCTCCACGCTCTGTGATCAAATGTTTGTGCATGTTGGAGGTATTTTCCCTCTTTGTTGTGATCAGTGTTGGTATTGATACTCAATGTATTTTACAGCGCTTGAGGCCGAAATTCTGATGGCAGCATATGCCGATAACATGCAAATTCTGCGGAAAAAAAGTAACACAGCCTCAGCTGCAAAAGAAAGGGAGCATGCATGGCAAAACATAGCCGACAGAGTCAATGCGTGAGTG